ATTCCACTCACCTGCAGTCACCAGTATTTAAGCTCCACTCCACCACAGCACCAGTGCCAGATTTATGAACGGTTCACACCAAGTAGTTATCCAGCGATCTCATGTTACGTCTTGTCTACCTCGTTACGACCCTCCTTCTGCTCTTAGGACTCAAGCCTCCTGCCTYGCCCCCGACTGGTAACTCTTTGGATYCTGTCTTCCTGGTTCTGACCCACGCTCTGACTTCTGGACCTTCGCCTTTCGCCTCACCCTCGTCTGACACCGTCTCTGCCTCTGACCTCCTGGATCCGATCCACGTCCGTGTACCCCGACCACGCCTCAGTCCTTGCCCCTCTAACCTGTTTTTGTCTTCAGCCTCTCTGTTTATGACCCCCGCTTGTTCTAAGKATTACCCCCGGCGCAGCGCCGCCAAACACGGAAGTGCAGCGAACCATCATCCAAGGCTCTCCGTGTCACTCAGGAGTTCGGTCCGTCCCACACGCTTCAGTAAAAGGTTAGTGGCTTCCCTTTTCTCACGTTTTGTCCCACTGTTAAGTCCAGCCACTAACCTTATTCTCCTGTGTTCAGAACTCCTGATTCCCGTGTCCTGTACCTCCAGATCCAGCACTCACTATTTAAATAAACTTGTTAAAACTGCTTCGGTGTTTGGCTCTGTGAAACTCAATCCCTCACTCATTACAAGAGGAAAAAAAACATGTTCTATAAACAGTTTTTTTTTTATTAATTTGGTGCAGATTGGAGTGACAAGGTGTTTTTATTCACTTTGAACATAGACGTATTCCTTTTTTGTCCTGAACAGTAGTTTTCCTGCAAAATTCTCCAAAATGTCCACATGTGTTCAATGATTTTTTTTTTTCCGGAGCAGCTGACTGGCTCAGTTGGCTCATGTTGCTCGACAGATTTCACCTGATAATGCGCTTAGACACACTGCCTGATCACATTCACCTGACCTTGCTACACCAGCTAACTCGAGGGGGGAAGACAGAGTTTCCACTTATCAGTTCCATTCACTGCAAGGGGAAAGATTCTCCAGTAGTCACTCTTCCACCGTGGCTCCCGTGACTTTGAAGCCTTTGTTTAACTCAGTCTACAGTCACTTAATTTGTCAGCAGACTCTCTAAACACAGGTCGTTAAAAATGCACAAACTTATGAACTATCCAAAGAGACAGATTTAGCTGGCTTGTTTGGTGCAATGTTTTTACTTTTTTTGTTGTTCCGTATTACTAATTGTATTTGTCACTGACAGCTGCCGAAATCATGCAGTTACATCGCATAATGAGTTGCTGATTAGAGATTCTGAAATTCATTTACGACTGATTTAGTGTTATTTTAGCTGAAAAGTGAAGATAATGTTCCCTAATGCCACTGGTTAAGGTAATTACACTATAATTGCCTTATCAAAGTGTCAGAGACCAGTCAAGGCAAGAAAAAAGTAATTAAAAATACCAGCACTCTTCAGGGGCATTTTTTTATTTCTCATTTAAGAATATATTCAATAAATTTCACATTTAATTTCACAAATTAGACAGGTAAACAGTTTCACTACCCACAGGTTGACACAAACACAAGCCCTCCTGCCTACAAATACAGTGACAGCCACAAACATATGATCTGCAAAAATGTTTATTTTTGATGTAAAAAAAAAAAAAACTGACTGGAGAAATGAAAATGATCAAATACTGTGTAATTCAAACAGCTGCAATCTCTTTTCAAACTCAAACGATGTGAAAGAGAAATGAAAAGTCAATCAAGTGACTGATGGCTACTCCTATTTCCTGCTAAGTGTGACATTTTATAGCACAGGATTTATTTGACTGAAAGAAAATAACAGCCGATATGAATAAAAATTACATATCATCACCAGTTGACTCTGTCATTGAAAAGACTAGTTTGTAGTAGTAATTCCTAACCTCACCTTTAAAATGAAAGTTCATCATTTTTGTTTGGTTCTGCATAAGAGTTAGGAACATTTAATATTAGCTACTTGTTGTAGATGGATCTCAGTTTGGAGGAAAGAAAAAAAACTTTTACTAGAGCGATTTGCCATTGAGTTTCAAGCAGTTCGGATGAAGTATGGTGACTGATGGGTGAAAAAGATGCTGCAAAGAAAAAAAAATGATGCATGATTTGACTCTGGTCTCCTTACATTAATATATATATATATATATATATATTACTAATATATGTAATAAAAACGATATATCAAAACTTTCAAAAACTTTTTCCTTCTGCAGATCATTGTATTTACAGAGAGTTTGTCTAGTCCCAAATGAAACGGAGGTTGTGTCCTCCTAGTGCTTTGGTGCATTTCCATTATGCTGTTTTGAACTTGCACCATTTTTCTAATATGCAGTTGGTTTTATGACTGCATAATTTTTCTTTACAGTGCTTTTTTCTTTTATTTGTTTTTTGTGTTTGTGTATTTTGGAGTTTGCAACATGTATAACTTGCAGTCAATTTTGTGAATGCAGCATTTTATTTAGTATCATTTTTTTTGTTTGTTTTTTCGTATTTTTGCAGCACGTGCAACTGTCAGCCACCATAATGAAGACCAGCACATCCAAGTCTGAGGTCATAGTTCTCATCTAGAAAAGAGTGGACCGCTCTCTCCGAGTAGGAAGTAGGATGCTGACTCAAGTGGAGGAGTTTAAGTACCTCTAGGTTCTGTTTAAGTGTGAAAGAAGAAAGAATGGGATGTGCAATGCATAAATTAAAGCAGCTGCAACAGTACAGTGTACTCTGTGCCAGTTTGTTCTGGTCAAGAGGGAGCTGAACTGTAAGGCGAGGTTTTCTGTTTACCTGCTGGTCACAAACTCTGAGTAGTGACAGAAAGAGATCTTGGACTTAGATACAGGAACTCTTCCTGATGCAGACAGGGACATGTAAGTTCAGATATTCAGGATTGACTTGGATTAAAAGAACTGCTTCTCCACATTGAGAGGAGCCAGTAAAKGTGGTTCAGGCATCTGGTAGGGACGTCCCTTTGATGCCTCCCTAGAGAATTTTTTTGGGGCATGTCCAACTGGGAGGAAACCCTGGCAATGTGGTTCAAACGTTTCAGGATTAGGAGGCTACCTTGAAAAAGTAGGGGGCTGAGCAATTGATTGCACCCCCCCCCCCCCACCCTACCCTTCTTGAATTTTAGAACAACAGTAATGAATTTTTCTGGCATTTGGGACAAAATTGGGTGGGTGTTTGTAGAGTCCAAAATCAACGGTTTAATGAGGACAGTTTGATTTTTTTTATTGGCACATTGAGTTATTCTTTGTGGGAATAAATGTGTATAGTTTACCAAGACTTTTAACAAGTTATTTTCAGTTATATTGTGTCATCTGCTACTCTCAGCTTGTATCATTGCTGAATATATAAATGGAATTTTAAAAGAAAAAAATCTCAATATTAAATATATGAAAACCTAAGGGTAAATAATATTATATGAACAACTTAACATTTGAATAKGTTACTAAAATATAAAAAAATAAATATCTCAAGATATTCATCAGCTGTTCAAACATGACACTTACTGCTATTGAAAAAAACTATTTTGCAAAAAAGAAATCCCAAATTATTAAGAATGTAAAAAAACAGATCTTAAAATTCAGATGAAAATAGGTGTACACCATCTGTCCCGTTCTGTAGAACAATTTCACATTAGTTCTGTTCAGAAGTTTATTGGTCCCTAAGTGAACCACTGTGTGTGGAGGACAGCTGACTGAAATCAGACTGCCTGCACCATGTTAGACAGGAGAAAAATGATGCTGCATTCCCAGAGCACATATTTCCAATATACAACCTAAGACTAATGTAACAAAGTAGTGAATACTATTTATTGAATTACTTCTAACGGATGAGTAGGCATGACTATAGAAGAACAGTGGTGTGTATAGCAGAACCACATAGTGTAAAAAAATAATGAAAGACTTGGACAATTGTTACGTATCTTTTTCTTACATTGGGTGAATCCTGGTAACCTGAATTGTAAACTTCTGAAAGTCTCAAATAAAAAAAAACTTGTGGAAAGGGTATAGTCCAAATTTTCCCAGGACATATGAAAATAAAATTGAGACAAAGTCAGTCAGTGGTATCAAGGTTAACCAGCTGTGTGTGAGCTGTGGGTGATACAGGCCTACCACACTGGTTCTGTTCTGGCCCACACAATGCACTAACACGTGGCCCAGATGCCTCAAAGTATGTTGACTCTTTAGCGGCCCAGATGTGGTTTGCCAGAAGTAATCCATATATGGGCCAGCACCTCGTAGGCCATCTTAAAAAAGTGCTGTCATTGACAGACCTGGCCCAAAACCAGTTGACAAACCAGCAGTGCCAGCTGGATACCAGATCTGGCCCACATCTCTCTGTTATGTTTGATGTGTACAGAAATTTCAGATCTTTCAAATGTTTTTACAGCAAATGCAAAAGTGCAAGACTTGTCCATAAATCAGCTTCTTTGATCCTATCCTGATCCGTGAGACAAAAAAAAATTCCCTATTGCAGATTTTAGCAAACATCTATCRCTTGGTCTTGAGTTTTACTAAACTCGTTCATTGTGCTTGTCATCTCAAACAGAGCRTTTTGTACGACTGTTAAGACTGAGCTGTCCAACTGTGATCGCTAACTATCAGGCTCCTCCTTGGCTGGATTTTTGCCTTTGGACCTGTGTAGCCTACTTTCACAAGAGCAAAGCCAGTCTGTCATAAACTATTACAGTGAATGATATCTTCTGTTTTTTTTATTTTTTTCGGTACAATACTGGGCTTTTTTTTTTTCTTGAACAAATCTTTTTATTGAACAGGTAAAATATGTACAATTTGAGCTGCTGCATCTCATTCATGCTACACAGTCTAACTTTTATTTCTCTCAACTATAAATAACCAAAATTCCTTCCTAATGGAGTAATTTACACAACCCCTTCAAAGCCATTGACAGGACTCTTCCCCCATGGCAAATGTCTGGCATTTAGCAAATCAATGACATGAGTTATGAAGAGGAACCGGGGCCTTGCGGACTCTCCATTCTTCTCAATAACAAAAGAGGAAGAGC